AGGGTGCGGCGCCCCAACCCCCTGATCCACCCTGCTCTGTGTGTGACAGGGGGCGGTGCCCCAACTCCCCTATTTGCCCTACACTGTGAGTGACAGGGGGGAGCTCCCCAACCCCCTGATGGGCCCTGCTCTGTGTGTGACAGCATACGGAGCCCCAACCCCCCTGATGGGCCCTGCTCTGTGAGTGACAGGGGGCAGCGCCCCAACACCCTGATTGGCCCTGCTCTGTGTGTGACAGGGGGTGGCGCCGCAACCTCCCCATCGACCCTGCCTTGAGTGTGAGAGGGGGCGGTGCCCCAATCCCCCAATTGGCCCTACCCTGAGCGTGACTGAGGGTGGCATCGCAACCTCCCAATCCGCCCTGCTCTGTGCATGCAGGGGGCAGCACCCCAACTCCCCAATCAGCCCTGCTCTGAGCCCGACCAGGGGCTGCACCTAGGGATTGGGCCTGTCCTCTGCCACCTGGGAGCAGGCCTAAGCCAGCAGGTCGTTATCTCCTGAGGGGTCCCAGACTGCGAGAGGGCACAGGCCGAGCTGAGGGACCCCCCTTCTTCCCGAGTGCACAAATTTTTGTGCACTGGGCCTCTAGTCTATATATAAAAGCCTAAGTGACTGTTACGACCAAATGATGGGAATGACTGGTCGACCAGTCGCTATGATGCTCACTGACCACCAGGGGGAAGATATGAATGCAGGAGCTGCCCCCTGGTGGTCAGTGTGCTCCCACAGCCAACCTCCCATGGCCCTTCCCCCCCCACACACCTGGCTGGCCCCCTGATCAGCCCCAATGGGGGGGCTGGCTGGCTAACCTCCCATAGCCCCTCCCTTCCCATTCCACCGGCCAATCTCCCACAGCCCCTCCCCCCACCTGGTGAACCTCCCAGGGTTCCCTCCCCCCGGTTGGCTGGCCCCCCTGATAGGCCTCGATCGCCGGCCTGGTCAAGGGGCCCTACCCACACACAAATTCGTGCACCAGGCCTCTAGTTTACTAATAAAAAAGCAACTTCAATATCCATTATTCCTTTTAACTAATACTTTAGGTAGAAAAGATAGTATTTAACTCAAATAGCTAGAATGAAAAGCAAAATAGAAAAGCTAACATAAGCCTCCAACAACATCCATATGACCATCACACCAACAAGTTTCCCTCCCAAGGAAAATGACAGTGATGGCTGTGACCTCTGTAGAAAGAAACTGGGGGGAGGGAACCCTGGGAGGTTCACCAGGTGGGGGGAGGGGCTGTGGGAGATTGGCCGGTGGAAGGGGAAGGGAGGGGCCATGGGAGGTTAGCCAGCCAGCCCCCCCATTGGGGCTGATCAGGGGTCCAGCCAGGTGGGGGGGGTGGGAAGGGCCATGGGAGGTTGGCTGTGGGAGCACACTGAGCATGTGTAGGATTCCAACCACATGCCGAGATAGCAGCTGGCTACATGCAAATGAGGGGAGTGTGCTATTTTCCTTCTCCATGAAGAGAACTATAACTTGAGTTTTTGGGAAAATCTTAAAACTAAAATAATCATTCAAAGCTTATTCAATTAAAGTGCATAACTATCCTATCTAATAAAGAGGGGATATGCAAATTGACCATCATGCTGTCACAAAGATGGTGGCGCCCATAGCCACAAGATGGTGGTGCCCAGTCCCCTCAGCCCTGCCAGAGTCCCCCAGTCCTTTCAGCCCCACTGGGGGGGAGGGGCACAGCAGGCACACAGTGTGGCCGGTCCTGCCCTCAACACCCCCAGCTGCCCAGGGCTGGCCAGAGACACAGGAAAGCCTTGGATGGTGGCTGCCCAGCTGACTAAGGCTGGCCTGGGGCACAGGCAATCCTCAGTTGTTGGCTTCCCAGCCGACGCCCAAGGTGCAGACAAGCCTTGGATATCAGCTGCCCAGCCACCTAGGGCCGGGTCGAGGTGCAGGCAAGCCTCGGATGTCGGCTGCCTAGCCGCCGGGGATGGGCCCGAGGTGCAGCAAAGCCTCAGATGGTGGCTTCCCAGGCGCCCAGGGCCACCCGAGGCTCAGGTAACCAGTGACGGCGAGGCTTGTGCTGCCAGCAGTGGCAGCAGCAGAGGTATGATGGGGGTGTCGCCTTTCTCTGGTCGCTGGGTCACCTCCCGCCCCTGATAGCTCCCGGAATGTGAGAGGGGCAGGCTGGGCTGAGGGACCCCCACTCCAGTACATGAATTTTCATGCACCGGGCCTCTAGTAGATAATAATCTTGACTCTGCCTATCATATCCAAATGTAACAAACTAAAACAAGGCCTTGGTATATCCCCAGAAGTGTCTGGGCAAATAAGCAATTTGTAACAGTCAAGAAAGTTGTTTGATTATCAAAACATCAAAATGCTTAATGATTTGGTGAAGAAGAAAGCAGTCAATTGTTTTGGCATGAACAAGAATTGTAGGTAATATTTTGCCCATTAAAACACTGAATTAATAAAATGGTTCCCTAGACAAAGTTTTAAAAGAATTTCATAAATGAAATTCATATAAATGAAATAAATATATCATGGCACATGTAAGAAAAAAAAATTAAATGAAGTAAGTTTTTTTTGAGGAGGATCATGGAAACCATACCAGCGATAGCCAAAACTGGATTTCAGGCTGAGCTGTATCCTTTAACAGGGTGACTCATTCTGCATTCTTATTCAGGGACATATTTGAAATAGTCTATTTTCCTGATTGAATGGTCTCAGAGCCACTGAATTTCCAAGCTTATTGGCTTCATTGTTTCCCCTTTCTTTGTGGAGGTTATTGTACAAAAATGGCTTAAATATATTCATACAAATCTTCCCCTTGCACAAATGTTCAGCATCTTTCTGGTTTCTATTCTGATCACAATATATTGTTCAAACCAAAGTAGGCCAATATATATGAATAAAATATATCAACCTATTTTCCTGTGTGTCTGCACAATTGTCAGAGCCTCGTCTGACATTTACAAAGAACTGAGCTTGTGAATTTCCTGCACTTCTGCCCCCTAAACCTTGCTCTTCCTCCAGTGTCTGTCGCTCAGGAAATAATACTTAGCCTCTCATTGCTGGATCCGGAAACACAGACATCCTTTAAAAAAGACAGCTATTAATGATGACTCTGCCAAAATTTGAAGTCATGTAATGCCATTCACCACCTCAACACTGTCAAACAAATCTTCTTTTCACTTAGAATAACCCAGATTTCTTACTTGGACATACAAAGCCCTAATGAGCTGACTCTTGGTCACTTCTCTGACCTCACCTGTTATTCTCAAAGTAAGTCTCTCCACTCTAACCAGGCCACCTGTAGGCTATTTCTTGCACATTCCTTAGAGCCTTTCCTAATTTGCTATTTTCCCCTTGCTACATGGCTTGGTGCCTTATTTTATTTAAATGATATCCCTTCCTTATTTGCCCTATCTAAAGCAACCTCTATAACTGTGTCTACTTCTTGTGAATCACTCAAATTCTAGCTCAAAGTACTTAAAAGCCAGTGTGTGAATCCCCATGTTCTTATTTTGTAAGGACGCTTGTGATAGTGCTTTTTTACATAATGTGTGCATAAATGTTTACCAACTGAAACAAGGAATAAAAGCTCTAGTAGCATTTGTTGATTACTGAGGTGCAAATGACTCCTAATTTCAAGCTACCAACATTATGCCACTGAACTTGAAGTTGGGAAGAGATGCTAACAATTGGTTGGAGATACGATATGACTTACCTCCAGTATGAAAGAGAACCATAACATCAATGCTGCGTGAAATATTGGAACAACTTATGACTTACAACTTTTATAGTGTCTGCAGTGTTCACTGCTGGGGCAAGGGGTAAACTATTGTCTCATTAAATGACTGAAGTGACCTTTTCCTTTCTTTCTTTTTTTTTTTTTAAATCCTCACCCAAGGATATTTTTCCATTGATTGAAAGACAGAGAAATAATGATGTGAGAGAAACACATCAATTGGATGCCTCCTGCACACGCCAGCCCAGAGCCCAGGGCCAGGGAGGAGCCTACAACTGAGGTATGTGCCCTTGACCAGAACTGAACCTGGGACCCTTAGGTCCAAAGGGCGATGCTCTATCCACTGAAACAAACCAGCTAGGGCTGAAATGGTCTTTTTCTACCGTAAAATAACCTGGCCTATCTTGATTTTTGGCAGTCAAGCAAATGCGTTATTACAAAGTTCACAGGCCTTGTGATAAAAATACACAGATTGCTCAGGAGAACAATTTCTGTGTATAGAACTAAAACCATTGAAAATTCTTCTGAAAATCTTTAAAAGGGTAATATATAATGTAATACAAATAATAATTGTTATCCATTATTTGTTGCTTTGTTCCAGAAACTGCTCTAAGCACTTTTTATCCCTGGGTATATTTCATCTTATTTATCCAATAAATCATATAGGAATATGCTGTTATTATCTCCAATTTATAGTTATTCATCAAGAGATTCAAGGTATTTAAGGATTTTTTCCACTGCAGATAGTTAGGAGTTGTGGAATTTCTTTCTTAAAAATGTCTTTCTCTTCTCTATAGAAAACAAAAAAGTATACAACTTTTCTCCTTGTTCAAGGAAAGGTAACATAAAATCAGAATTATGTGTCTCCTTTCAAGCAGGGATTCAGTATTATTTAATGAAAATATAAAACAAGTCACTAGGACTTAAAATACATCATCGTTCAGACTATATTTTAAAAAGCACTTCTTTCTGCTGATAAATTAATGATACCTAATATTTATGATGCAGGTCTTTAAACAATAGACCTATGTGCTAAGTAATCAGAATAGATAAATAGACAAAATTAATTTGATTCTTCTAATTGTGGCCAATTTCTTTAGGGTTTATTTTTTTAATTGCAAAAGACTTCCCGTATAAAACATAAAGACTTTGTTTATCATTAAACATCTACAAATACATCTAAAACGTACCCTTTGAACTTTAAACTTAAGACAATTCCTTTAGTCACACAAAACATATTTTTATTTTTTTTATTTTTTTTTTTAAATTTTTTTTTACAGAGGATAATTTGGAGCATATACACTATTTACAGGACACCCTGCAAGGAACAGGGAAGGTGAAACTGCTGGGCACAATACAAACAGTTTGGGGAGTTCCTAATCTCTTTTCATCCTTGTTTCTGCTATGCTCACGCTTCAGCTCTCGCAGGGGGATTGAGGAATCAGATTCTCTAGGGGAGCATAGCGTGGCACAGAGTTCAGATACCAGGGCCTCGAGGCTTGTAGAGGGCCCAGTGGTGACTATGGCACGATGTCTGCCTTGGCATAACAAGGTGGGGCTAGAGGGCGGACAGTCCCTGCTTGCCGTCCTTACTCAGGCCTTGGATGGCCCACCCACTCCTGGATGGCCCAGAGTGGACAGCTTGAGCAGCAAGGGTAAGGTCAGGTCTCTACCGCAGCTCAGGCAGGAGCTGAGCCCAGTTGATGTTGTCAGGGCCCAACAGGTCCTCCTCCAGGCCAGGGAAGCTGATGTCCAGCAGAATCTTGCTCAGGCTGTCATTCATTGTGTCCAGAACCAGGCCTTCTGTCAGGGAACGGTTGGCTGGAAGGCTGGCAACCTGTGGCTCCCCAACCACGGGGTAGTCTGGCTTGGGGACTTCCATTTCTGAGGGGGAACAGCTACTAAAGGGGTCAGAGTTGAGGTCAAAGGGCTCAGAATTGAGGAGTTCTTGGGGTGAGTCAAAGAGGGGGATACTTTTCAGTGGGGTGGTACTGAAATCTGTCAGCCCCAGGGAGTCAGGTAGGGGGCCAAAGGTACCCTCAGGGGTTCGTACTGGGCTGAAATCTAACCCTCCAATTTTGGCTGGGGGTGTAAGCCTCCAGGATTCAGGGCTCAAGGGGAGGACAAATTTGCTCGGGGTAGAGGAGACGGGCAGCGTCTCCTTAATGGGTGTCTTAAAAGGTCCTCCCTCCTCCTGGGAGTAGCCAAGCTGGGAGGCAGGCACAGAGGGCTCTGAAGGGAGAGTGAGCTCTGTGGCTGGTTTTGAAGTCCCAGGGGCCTCTGAGAAGAGCAGCTCAGGCTCATCCACACAGGGAGGTAGTAGGTGCTGTTTCCTTCGAGACCGGCTCATCTCCCTCCCCTCCCTTCGTTTAATCACCAGCATTTCAGACACACACCGGGTTGGGGACCTGAGCCCACTGTAGGACTTCTTGGACTTTGGAGTGGGCGAGTGAGGGGAGTCGTCCTCCCAGGACTGAGACAGCTCCTCTTTGACAGATGGGCACGGCGAGGGCCACTCTATCAGGGGCGGGCTCTCCACCTTGATAGGCCTCCCTAAGTGTGGCATTTCCTCCCCAGGCTGTATTTCTTCCTCCTTGATGGGCTGAACTGGAAGCAGAGGAGACAGCCCTTCTCCAAGCAGGAATTTCTCCTCTTTCACTGGCCCTGCAGTGGGCAGAGGAGCGACCCCCTCATCAGCTAACGGCACCTTGGGGGCAATACGGACTCGTTTGCTGTGACGGGCAAGCTCTGAGCTCATGAGTGAAGCTGCCAGGGGCAATGGCACCTTTACCGAGGGCTGTAACACCAGTGGCTGGTTCACTGGGAACCGAATGGGTACCAGGTATGAGCTGACCCGGGGTAGCAATGGCTTCATCTTCCGCCGTGCGCCCAGTGGGAGTGCAGTTTTGATGGTCACATTCCGGCGGAGCTCAGGATTGGGTCGTTTCTGCTGTGATTCCAAGTGCTCGGGTGATTGTGGAGACCCTGGGTCCAGTGGCTTAAACACCTGGTCCAAGGTCAAGTAACGATTGGCACTGGGGTGAATGGTCCAGAAGGAGACCTTGCCATTGGCAGACGTCTCTCGAACAAACATGTCATGAAGAGAAAGGTTATGGCGAATGGAATTCTTCCAGCCTGGCTTTGCCATATGCTTAAAATAGGGGAAGTGGTCCTCGATCCACGTGTAGATGTCTTTCAAGGTCATGCGCTTCCTCTCGGTACTGTTGATGGCGAATTGTATCATGGCCATGTAAGAGTATGGCGGCCGCTCAGACACGGAGTCCTGCCAGGATGTTGATCCTCCTGGGAGCTCCTCAACCTTAACCTGACTCGGCTCCAAGTGCTGATTTTCCTTTCCTTCCATCTCTTGCTTGATGCTGCAGGAGCCCAGGCCATCAGAACTCATCTTTCCAAGCCACTGGATGTTGGTCAAGCTGGTGTTAAGAGTGCAGCCTGCTGCCTCACTGCCAGCACAGTTCTCCCATCTCTGCCCGAGAAGGGCTCCAGGTAGTCTAGGAAGATTCCCATCCATAGCTGCAGGTTTTGGTCCCGGAGTCTTGGTGATCTCTTCTGTCCTCTTGGTATCATTGCTGGTTTGGGCTTGAGGCTGGGGTTCTGGAGGGTGAGTGGGGGCTCCCCCACAGCTAATGAGGATGAATTTGTTGGGCCCATTGCTGCCACTCTCCTTTCCTTTGGCGGTCAATGCTGTGATGATACTCTGGATATTGGCATTGTTGGGGATGGCCACCACTTGGGTGTTGGGCATAGTGGGGTGGTTAATAATCTTGATCCCAACCGGAAACTTGCAAGAGGTGGACTCTGCCACCTCATTGGAGGCCTGTGCTTGACCAGGCTCTTGTTGGGCAGGGGGCCGTTTAGGCTCCTCCTCTGATGTTTCACCTGGGGCATTTTGAACAGGTAAGGGCGGCCTCCGTCTTTTGAGAATCAGTGGCCGATGGGGGCTGGTTTTCATTATGAATCTATGTTTTCATTCTCCATTGAGAATCACAAGAATGGACCCTCCCGACTGCAGTCGCTGTCGCCGCTGGGCTGAGGCTCCTAGGGCGGGCTCCGGGCTCCTCCGACCCGGGGGCCGAGCCAGGGCGCCGGGCAGGGGCCGAGCCAGGGCGCCGGGCAGGGACTCGCGCCAGGCCCGCCGGATCCCTGGCGGTGCGGGAGGGGTGGGGAATCCCAGGGGATCCCGGGAGGGGAGGGGGTCCCGGGCCAGGGGCCGGGGGTGGGGTTGGGCACCCACAAAACATATTTTTAAAGAAAATAGTGTTATTTCACATATGTTTTACTTAAAGTTGTAAATTACCAGGATAACTTTTTGTCTCATCTTTTTCTCCAAATTGCTATTAAAGAAAAAAAAAACACACACATATTTTAGCTTCTCTTCAGGTATCTGCTCTGATTTATTATATCCTTGTACAAAAGCTTGAAAGATTGATGGTATAAATTATTTAAAGAAATATAAAGTAACAAAAGTGCTTTTGACAGTTTTAAACATAAACATTGCAAAGTTTTAAATGTAACAGTAAATAGGAGCAATTTAAGTATCAATTTCTGACTCTGGAGCACATGACATAAATCTAAGAATTACCATATGCTGCCATGCCATAAAATTTTCATAATCAGTATTTATTGTCTAGTGATATGGAAGCGCATAGTTGTTTTATGCTGATGAAATTAAGACTAAAATTATGAAGTAAAATCTTCCTTTGATAAACTGCAATTACACATTATGTGAAAGTACCTTGGCATGTGGTATAGAGGTTTACTCTTAATCGTATCAGTTCTTGCTGCAAATGTCATGTTTCATAGAATCAATTCCAGGATATGGAAAAGAAAGGCCAGCATCAGACAGTATCTTCCTATCAGAACTTTAACTCCAACACCATCAGGAAGGCTCCAAAGATTCTAGTTCCAAATGAATCATTTGGCTGAAATTCCTTTGTAATCATCTGTAGCAAGCTGTTTTTATACATGATTTAATGTTCCAGCTTCTGCTTACTTAGGGCAAACATCAGCCCCTTGAATAGTAGCCTCAATTGTAATTTATTCAATGAAGAATTCAAGAAAAAAAAATAGCATTTTTCTTTTTAATGGCTGTTTGCTTTCAATTAAAAAAATGTGTTGGCAAACCGGAAATCGATAAAAAAAGAGTTTGAAAGAACAACAAAAAGACAAGATGATATCTTAATACTTAATACTAGATACATGTCAGAAAAATAAGCAGTAAAAATTATTTAATGTTCACCTTGCATGACAAACACTAATAACTAGTTAAACATTAGATGCCGGGGTCCAATCCCAGCCGATCCAGGGGTCCCCAAAGGTGTGGACGGAGTCGGCGAAGAGGGAAAGACTCAGAGGCAGCGTTCAGTTGATCAGCAGCATAGCCAGGATCTCTAGCCACGTTCTGGTCAGGATCTCCAGCGAAGTTCTGGTTAGGATCTCCAGCCAGGTTGTGTAAATGTTCTCTTGCTAGGTTCTCCAGCCAGGTTCTCCAGGTTCTCCAGCCAGGTTCTGTAGCCCTGTTCCCTCGCTAGGTTCTGTCCATGTTCTCCAGCCAGGTACGGTCACCAGGTTCTAGTCAGGTTCTCTTGCCGTGTTCTATCCAGGTTCTGTAGCCAGGTTCTGTCTCTAGGTTCTTCAGCCAGGTTCTCTCGCTAGGTTCTGTGTCTAGGTTCTGTAGCCAGTTTCTGTCCAGGATCTTTTGCCATGTTCTCTCCAGCGAAGTTCTTCTGTCTCTAGGTTCTGTCTAGGTTCTGTGTGTAGGTTCTGAGTCTAGGTTCTGTGTGTCTAGGTTTTGTGTCCTGTTGTCTTGTTACATCTGTATTTATACCAGTTGATTCAAATCCTATCAATCTCTATTCCAAAGGTTAGGGCATTTCTTATCTCCATTCCAGGGAGTAAAGATTATGTAGCTTAAGCATGATTGTTCATAGTTAAAGTTATTAATTACCCACCTGGCACTTAGTTAAGGGGTTTTATTCCCTCCCTAACTTCAGGGGAAAATCCCTACCTGGGGAAACAACCTTTCTCAGAGAGGTGACCTTGCTTAAAACACAATGCCAAGAAGGTGAGCAAACATATTAAGAACAGTATGCCATATATGCCAGGTCCCTTGAAACAGCAAGGATGGACCGGCTCCCGGCACTTATCTTAAGATTAGAATAGATCTCTAGCCAGACAAAGTGGCAAAATTATAAAAAAAGTGAGTTATATCCTACTCAATTTATCCATTCTTTAAAGAGAGGGGGTTGCATCAGCCTGACCTGCATAGCTCAGAGGTTGAGCATCAACCTATGACCCAGGAGAACATGGTTCGATTCCAGGTCAGGGCCCATGCCTGGATTACAGGCTTGATCCCCAGTACGAGGCCATGCAGGAGGCAGCCAATCAATGATTCTCTCTCATCATTGATATTTCTATCTCTCTCTCCCTCTCCCTTCCTTTTGAAAATCAATTTTTTTTTTTTTCAAAAAAGGGGGAATTGCATTCTCTTGGTCTCTATTCCATCAATATAATACATTTCTATAATGGCTTCAACGTAATGACAATTTATACTTTAATCAATGGCCATGTAATGTGTTGGCACCTTGCATTCAGCTTAGGACACCAAAAAAGCATAGGGCTTCACTGCAGATATGTTGCTCCGTGATCCATTCCAGAGATTAAACAAGGCACTCATAGCAATGTATCCCGCCTTACCAGTAATTGTGAAGAAAATGTCAGGAAACCCATCTCTCTGCCCTCTAATTCAAAATAGTCAATCAAAATCTTAACTGATAAAAATTAATACTGCCACAATGCTATCAAACTAGCTCTATCATGATCTTTCTCCTACTGAGGGAATGTTAGAAGATTAATATAGCTTTTTGCTACTAAATGATAGAGTCAGGTATCAAATTCATTAAACTTCATGTTTTGTATGATTTTTTGTACTACCTCATCCTCAGACCCTCAGTTTCCTCATGTGGAAAGCCAACTCTCCCACACGGATGGAAAGGAAGTGGGGAGGCAGCTGGCACCACAGAGACTGGGAGACATGAAAGCAGTTTGCAATTCCCCAGGCATGGGAAAACCTCAGGCTGAGAGAAATGGCCTCTGCCTAATTTCAAACTCTTAAACAAAAAAATACCTGTCGCTGTTTTAAAACACTGAGTCTTAGTATCTGCACGCAATAACCAATACCTGGAATATGAGATCAGAGATTTTGTTATAGGGCTTAGAGTTTACACAACTATGAAAGATACTGTTCAAGTAAAGGTCTAGAAAGGGAGAGTTAGAAATTGAGGGGAGACACTAACCGAAATTAAACCGTTGGTTTGGGTGGACACAGTTGATATTTCCAAGAAAACTTAGAACCATGCACTTCTAGCTGCTGAGGTAGAATCCTGAAGGGGGAAGTTGTAGAGAAGTTTGTTGGAGGCCATTCCCTCTGTGTAGCGATTGTTTCTGCATCTCTGCGGATTCTCAATTATACAGCTGGTGGGAGGCCTAGCAAGGCAAGCCTTCAGGATGTGGAAAGAAAGCTACTGCAAACTAGAACCTGCTGGGCACACTGGCATTGGTCTTCCACTGTCTGAAGGCAACCATAATATTAATTGCTGCTAATTTCCTCTTTAAAATATTGCACAAGTTCCTCATTTGGGTAGCTTTTACTTGGGACAGTAGTGAGAAAAGGATTCTGAAATATATATTTATCAGCATAATAAAGTTGATGAAGTAGATCCAGCATATGTACAATGTATAGCACAGGGTGAGGCATAGCAAAACAATTGCACTTTTTTTTCTTCATTTAGGTAGGTCATCATTTGTCCATATTAATAATTGTACTTAGTCTGGCCAGTGTAGCTTAGTGGTTGAGTGTCAAACTATGAACCAGGAGGTCACAGTTCAATTCCTGGTCGGAGCACATGCCGGGGTGTGGGTTTGATCCCAGTGGGGCGTGTGCAGGAGGCAGCTGATAAATAATTCTCTCTCATCATTGATGTTTCTATCGCTCTCTCCCATTTCCTTCCTCTATGACAGCGGTTCTCAACCTGTGGGTCACGACCCCTGAAAATACATCCTGCATTTCAGATATTTACATTATGATTCATAACAGTAGCAAAATTACAGTTATGAAGTAGCAACGAAAATAATTTTATGGTTGGGGGTCACCACAACATGAGGAACTGTATTAAAAGGCCGCAGCATTAGGAAGGTTGAGAACCACTGCTCTATGAGATCAATAAAAAATAGATATTTTTAAAAATTGTATTTGATTTAGCATTCTTTGTTTAAGATTTAGGATTTTCTCCTAATCCCTTTAAGATCCTTACAAATGAAATTATAGATACAAAGAACTGAAGTCAAATGAGAAAATAAATGTTTGATGTATAAAGAACTATAAAGTGCCTAATAAATTTAAATGATTTTTTCTTGTGAAAATTGCATTGGGGATCATGGTTCAGGCTGTAAAGACCAAACTGAACTATTTACTCTTTCATCCTGAATTGGGGAAAAACTTGCAATACAAGCTAACTTATCCTTTTGCTTGAGAGACATAGAGAAAGAGGAAGAGAGACAGAGAGATAGAGAAAGAAATTAGAGAGAGAAAGAAAGACCTTCATTCATAGTAGATCCTTCCCTGATGACAGAAACCAAAAGAGAGTATGAAGCACCAGAATAACAGAGCAAAGAGGAGTCACAAACAGTTTTATATCATCAAGACACAACTTTATGCAACTTTATACAAGATGCCTACATAAGTGTAAATATCTGAAAAATCTGATTCATTCCAGTACCCTGAGGAAAAAATGGAAACTGAGTGTTGTTGGTTCACTGAAATTCTCTTTACCCCATTCAATTGGCACTGGAGTAATTTATCTTATAATGCCTATTTTTTTATAATAGGGAATATGAGTTAATTGCATATTTCCCAATTAACTCATAATACTATATAATAATATTTATCCAAACACAGGATAGAAACATATATAAAAGAGTCTTTGGAGGACTTTTTTTCCCCCCAATAATTAATTAGGAAAAAACACTGAATTAA